CTCACACTAGAGAAAGCCATTGGTCAATACAGGGGAACAAAATTGACAATAACACATAGAAAGACACAGACACAGACACAGAAAGAGAGAGAGAAGCAGAGACAGAGACAGAGACACAGAGAGAGAGAGAAAGAACAACTAGGGTGGCCACCACATTCGTATACCTTAGCGGACAGAGGGATCCAGCAATGTCTCACATGGATCCTGGACACTGGATCAGCAGCCATGTCCTACAGTTCTGGGAAAGTCTCTAAATGTATTATGCAGCAAGCTTTCTTGTCGGACTATCTTTGGACTGTCAGCCTGCAAATAATGACCAGAGACTTATTATTAATTATGAAAGCCTAGCCTTAGCTTAGGCTTTCCCCCAACTAATTCTTATAACTTAATTAACCTATATTTTTAAAATCTATGTTCTGCCATGTGCTCGGTTACCTCTTCTTAGTATGGCACATCCAACTTTCTCTGAGTCGGCTGGAAAAATCACAAGCCTAGATTCCTTCTCCCAGTTTCTCCCTCTCTACCTGGAAGTCCCGCCTATTCTCTCCTGCTTAGCTATTGGCCATTTAGCTCTTTATTAAACCAATCAGAAGGCACCTTAGGCAGAGACACATCTTTACATTGTAAACAAATATTCCCCAACAATATTAACCTTGCTTTATAGCTTCTGTAGTTCTGTTTCTGGCTAACTGTTCTTGCTAACTGAAGTGTGTCAACTCAGGACATGTTTTTTTGTGTTTAAAAGCTCACCCAGAGAAAGGCTCAGTACTACACTGGGATTCCAAGCACCCAGTGTAGTTGCCGGCCAGCTAATAAAGACTTTCTTTTGGCTTAAACCCATGTCTGAGCAGTCTTCTCTGGTGAATACCCCACATCAATACTAAATGTATCAATCTTTTCTTTAAGGCATTTTTTTAGAGATTTATTTTTAACTATGTGCATGTAGGTTTCCTTGGAGGCCAGAGGCAACAGTTCCCCTGGAGCTGGGGATACAGGCACTGGTGAGCAACCTCCCATGGGTGCTGGGAACTCAGATCCTCTGCAGTAGCTTAACCCCGAGCCATCTCCCCAACCCCTCTTTAATGGAATTAGGTTTGGTTTTGTGTTTAAAAATACTTTCCTCATGTTGAGAATATAAAAAAATTTCTCTTACACAAAGAAACCCTGTCTCAAAAAACAAAACAAAACAAAACTTCTCCCAATATTTTTGTTTCATTTTTTCTTTACATTTCAGCCTATTTTGCTAAGTAGCATGTTGTGAGGCCGTCAAGTTAATATTCGGTGCAGCAATAACCTCAAATAACTGGCTGGTGATCCCAACACCAAATATAATCCCACCCTTTTCTTACGATTTGATATTATATCTTGATCATGTTCTATTCCCGTGTATATTGGATATATTCTCGGACTCTCTAATTGGTTTCATTGATTACACATCAACTTTAGCTCCATTTTTTGTTATTGTTTTTTTCAGACATGATCTTACTGTGCAGCCCCAGTCAGTCTAGATCTCATTGTGTAGAGCAGGCTGGCCTGGAACTCACAGAGATCCACTTGCCTCTGCCTCCTGAATGCTGGGATTAAAGGTGTGCGCCACCACTGCCTGGCCCCCAATTTTTTTTTTTAATAAGAACAAAGTGTGGTATATTATACAATTTTAATTCTAGCACTTTGGATGCAGAAGTAAATGGATCTCTGTGGGTTTAAGGCCAGCTTGGTCTTTATAGTGAGCTCCAGGTCAGCAAGGGCTACACGGTAAGGACCTGTCTCAACAAAGTCAAAAAGAAAACAAAACATCATCATCTGGGTGAACACACAGCTCAGTGGTAGAGCACTTGCCTAGCATGCCTGACCTGCTGGAGGCCATAGGCTCAATCCCCAGACACATGCACATACACAAATACACACCCTTGACCTAGAGTAATAGAATTCACAGAGATTAACAAACAGGACTATGCTAGCTTTGGGGTGTGGCTCAGTGGTAGAGAGTTGGCATAGTATGTGTGAGGCCGTCAAGTTAATATTCGGTGCAGCAATAACCTCAACAAAAGGGTAGCCCGGTGCTTGTCAAAGGTGGGGAGGGGGAACGGGGAGTTACTCTTTAATGAGCACAGACATTCAGGATTGCAAGAGAAGAAGAGTTCTGAGCAGCTGAGGATGTTGCCCAAGAGAACACTTCTTACATAGCATGCACAGGGCCCTGGGGTTAATTCCCAGGACCACAGTGTAAGCAAACCAGCATGTGGCAGATCTGCAGCTGCATGGTTGGTGATGGCAACACCAGTACTCAATGCTACCTGAACTGTACACTTGGACGTGGGGAAGATGGAGGGTGGGTGGCCCAGGGGCAGAGGGCCCTGGGCTAGGTCTTCAGAAGCTTATGCTTGGTATCCCTGTTTTTATTTTTATTTTACATTCATTGGTGTTTTGGCTGCACGGATGTCTGTATGAAGGTATCCGATCCCCTGGAAATGGAATTACAGACAGTTGTGAGCTGCCACAATGGTGCTGGGAATTGAACCAAGGTCCTCTGGAAGAGCCATCTCTCTAGCCCCTAAAAGGTTTTTTTGTTGTTGTTGTTGTTGGTTGTTTGTTTGTTTTTTCTGATGCATATTGGTGCTTTTCCTGCATGTATGTCTGTGTACTACATGAATGCCTGGTGCCAGAAGAGGGCATCAGATTCCTTGAAGCTGGAGTTACAGACAGTTGTGAGCTGTTAAATGTCTTGGGAATTGAACCCGGGTCCTCTGAAAGAGCAACCAGTGTTCTTAACCACTAAGCCATCTCTCCAGCCAGTTTACCTGTTTTAAAATTTTTATTTTTCTGGTTATTTCTTTTTATTCTATTTTACAAAAATATAGGTCTGTTCCTGAATCAAAAACTGGAGTTACACCCCAGGTCCTTTTTTGTAAATTTTTAGTTGGATACAGGATCTTTTTATTTGTTTTGTTTTGTTTGTTTGTTTGTTTTTTGGAGACAGGGTTTCTTGGCATAGCCCTGGATGTCTTGGAACTAGCTTTGTAGACCAGGCTGGCCTCGAACTCACAGAGATCCGTATGCCTCTGCCTCCTGAGTCCTGGGATTAAAGGCGTGTGCCACCACAGCCCAGCCAAAAAATTGTTATTATTTCTTTTATGTGCATGGATGTTTTGCCTGCATATTATGTCTGTGTACCATGTGCATGCCTGGTTTCCTCAGAGGCCAGAAGCGGGTGTCAGATCCCTTGGAACTGTAGTTACCCTTGGTGGTAAGCTGCCACGTGGGTGCTAGATCCTCTGAAAGAACAGCAAGTGCTCTTAACCGTCAAGCCATCTTCCAGCTCCTGGAGCCTTTTTGCTAGTATAAAGGAAAGAGAGAAGGAATGAAGAAAGAAAGTGAATACGGGGACAATTTCCATCATGGGCAACAGACTCTAAATGAATTTTTGAAATGAGAAGCTGAAGGTAGTTCGAGGAAATAATTAAAGGAAGCGGGCCGGTGGCTTTTGGGTCTTGAATGAGTTGAAAGTTGGAGTCCTGCAGCGTGAACTAGAAAGACAGGAGGTTAAGGAGGGGAAGGGAGATGGTCAAAATTGAGATTGTGGGGCTGGAGCATGTGGCAGGCCCTAGGCTCATCCTCAGCATCACAATAAATAAATACATACATTTGAAAATTTAGCGGACTTTTGGAGAGGTCACAATCTCTGACAGTAAGAAATGTGGCAATGACAGGCAGAAAAAAGGGTGATATCCAGCGGGAAGGAGGCAGAAAGGCAGAGCACCGCCCAAATCAAACAGCTCTGGTTAGAGGGATAGTTCAGCAACTAGGAGCACTGACTGCTCTTCCAGAGAGCACGGGTACAATTCCTAGTCCCCACATGGCAGCTCAGGACTATGTAACTCCAGTTCCAGGCGATCTGGTTCCCTTTTCTGGTCTCACCGGCACCAAACATACAAGTGGTGTACAGACATACATACAGGCGAAACACCCATACTCAAAACAAAATTTAAAAATAATAAATTACTTAGGACTGGTCAGACGATGTAGAAGTTAACAGAGCTTACCTCTGAGAATAATCATCTGAGTTCAATTTTGGAGACCAACACGGTGGAAGAGAACCCACTCAACTGGAAGTCTTTTGACCTCCACAGGTACTCACGCCCCATACACGCCCAAATACACACAAAATAAATAAATATAATTAAAAAAAAGTATTTGAGCTGGGCAGTGGTGGCGCATGCCTTTAATCCCAGCACTCGGGAGGCACAGGCAGGTGAATCTCTCCAGAGTTCCATGCTGGCCCTGTCTACATGGTGAGTTCTAGGCCAGCCAGAGCTACGTAGCTTGTCAAAACAACAACAACAACAACAAAAAATTCGCTGGGTGTGGAGGTGTATGCCTCTAATCCTAGCATTCAGGAGGCAGAGACAGGAGGATTTCTGTGAGTTCCAGGTTAGACCGATCTGCATAATGAGTTTCAGGACCGCTAGGCTATGAAGAGAGACCCTGTCTCAAAAATAAATAAATAAATAAATAAATAAATAAATAAATAAATAATATATATATATATATAAAACAATGCTGAAATTACCTAGGCTATGAAGAGAGACCCTGTCTCAAAAATAAATGAATAAATAAATAAATAAATAAATAAATAAATAAATAAAATATATATATATATATAAAACAATGCTGAAATTACCAAGAACGATGACAACAATAATGACCGGGAATCAGAAGCTAAATTTAAAAATTGAGGGTGAGTGACGCGCAGGCACTGCAGTCTCCGGGAGGTGAGGTTTAAAGCTCTTCCAGTCAGAAAGGTTTGACCCGCGTGAGAGGGCGTGGCGCCTTTAAGGACTCACGCCCTAAGAAGGGACAGTCTACGCTAGGACGGGGCGGAGTCTCGAGGGGGCGGGACCTTGTGGGGCGTGGCGCGGCAGGCACGGGGAGAGGGGCGGGACTTCTAGGGGGCAGGGCGCGGTGGGCACGGGGAGAGGGGCGGGGCCTCGTGTGGGCGGGGCGCGGCGGGCACGGCGAGCGAGGCGGAGTCTGTGTTTCGGTCAGGCTGCGGCTTGCGGCTGTGGGGCTGTAGTTCAGAAGAGGGAGGCCGAGGCCTGGGCCCAGCCCGGAGCCGCTGCCCGACCGGAGCCTCCTGGAGCCCCCGCGCCGGCTGATCTTAGGGGCGGGCTCGGGTTCGGCCCGCCGCCGCACGCAGGACCGAGGCTGCATGCCGGAGGACCAGGCCCACGCAGCCATGGTGAGCTAGCGCGGCCTGCCTCCCCCCACCCCACCCCCAACCCCCGGGTGGCCCGAGGACGCTGGGCAACCTAGCCTCCTCTCACCCTTCTTCCCGCACCCTCGGCCTCTGCCGCCTCCCGCCCGGCGTTCCCCATCCAGCGGGAGCGAATCCCTTTAGGGGACATCCCTTAATCTCCCTCCTCTCCGGTGACACCCTATTGTCCCCCGGTGACAGCCTCCTTCGCGTTCTCACCCTCCCAGCCTCCGTCCTTAACCCTTCCCTTTTCTCCTCAGCCATTCTCCCTTTCTCCTCTGTGATCGTTAGCCGCCGCCCCCCCCCCTTCTCCCTGTTTTTCGTTCCCGCATTTTGCTTGCTTTCTCTCCTCGCCCCCCTTCCCCCCTTCCCCATTTTGTCTCCGCCGCCCCCTCTTCCCCTTGGTCCTCGACCATCCGCATTTCCTCTGCCCCTTGTCGGATGTCCTCCGTCGCCGGCTCGCACATCTGCCCCTGTTTCCTTCTTCAGACTTCAGGAGTCTAAGCAGGAACAATTTGAAGGCGATTGCTTCCCCGGAGCTGTTGGGCGGGCACGTACAGATTCTTAGCCTGCCTTTCCCTTTTCTGTTTTGGAGGGCGGAAGGGGGGAGATTGGAGGCATGGAAGAATAGGCTGGAAGCTTTACGACCTAGTGTTATCAACCTAAGTGATAGTGTGTTACAGAGTACATATTGTGGCCTTATGTGATCATCTGGCCTTTTGACAGAAATACCTGAAAAGGTTTTGAAATTGTCTATTTCCAGGGTGTTTTCATGTGGAGTTACAGTTCGGGAAATTAAAGCCTTTTTAAATTTGCAAGCATGACAGTTATTGCTCAGAACAAATAATTTGTTTTTTGTTGGGAGGCAGAGGCCAAGGGCATTTGAGGTCTGAAAATCAGCCTGGCAGTCAGATTGTGACAGCCTTCCGAATTCCTTCCTTGTAAAGGACGCATTTGTTCTGCCCTTTCTGTCCTTTCTTGGAGGAACCTCTTCTGTGCAAATTTTCCTTCTGCTTCAAAATGGCTGTGATTACAGTCCATTTTTAAGTGAGTTGAGTTACCTGTGTTTTGCAGTATATATATTGAAAACATTGTTCCATCATACACAAGAAGCTAAATTTTGATCTACATTCTAGTCAAAGGAGTGATACATTCTATCTAGTCAAAAGGATTCAGGCTAATCATAGTTTTCTAGTTTCTATTTTCCTCCATTTTTTATCCATTTTTTAGGAAAGTAATTTCTTGTCTGGCCATTTAACATATAAACCTTCCCTAGTTCACTCGACTCTGCCTTTCATACGTTGTCATTCTCCAGTGACTGCCTCCTTCACTTTTATTGCTGTCATTGTGTGCTAATCTGTCCTTTTCATGAAACATGGATTCTGGAAATGACTGTGCCATACTTAATTTCTTTCCAGTGCCCAGATCAGGTGGACACTTGAATGACATATGGTCTCATTTCCCTACCTGACAAATAAAGTCTCACACTGAAATTTGAGGCACCTACAGACTATTCAGGGTGAGCTGAAGCATCTTGCTTTTGGTGCAGAAAGGAATGTAGTGGGATGCAGTGATAGTGACAGACTAGAGGGCATCTTGCTGGAGAAGACAGCAGACTGCTAAACTTTGGGAAATGTGGGCCTTCCCACCTGGATTCCAAAGAATCATTTGAGCTGGGCCTAAAAGATGCATGGAATTTATATGAACTATTTGGGAAAGAAGAAGAAAGCTTCCGTTATAAATGTGAGTAGAAGGATGAACGAAGTTTAAGATGTGTTGTGAAAGCCATGTGTGTTGTGCATGCCGTTAGTCCTGGCACCTGGAAAGCAGAGGCAGGTGGATCTCTGAGTTCATGGTTAGCCTGGTCTACAGCGTGAGTTCCAGAACAGTCAGGGCTATACAGAGAAACCCTGTCTCTGGGTGGGGGCAGGGAAGGAAAGAAAAGATTTGTAGTGAAGGATTACCTGGTTACTGCCTGGAAGGAAGGAAGAAATAGGATGTGTAGTGGGACATGGAGTGAGAAAGATACTGTCTTAGTCCATTTAGGTTGCTATGACAAAATGTCGTCAGCTGGCAAACTTACAGCCTACAGAAAATGGTAAAAGTTTTGGAGCATAGGATATCCAGGAACAGCACCTCCACATGGATTGTCTGAAAGGTGCTTTCTTTTCTCTTCGAGTATGTGTGTTAACATGTGTGTGTGTGTGTGTAAGTGCTCATGTACATGTGTATGTATGTATGCATGTGTATGTGTGTAGAGGCCAGAATTTTGTTTTTTTTCTTTTTAAAATTTCTTCTAGATTTTTAATATGTGTGAGTGTTTTGTGTGTATGATGTGTATTGCTTGTTTGCCTGGTGCCTGTGGAGGTCAGAAGAAGGTGTCAGATCCCCTAGAACTGGAATTATACATGGTTGTAAGCATGAATTGAACCCTGGTTCTTTGAAAGAACAGCAAGTGCTCTTAACTGTGATCCAAGTGGACAGGCGTCAGGTTCAGTAAAGGATCCTGTCTCAGGAAATTAAATAAGGGAACAGGATCCCTTACTGAACCTAATGCTTGTCCATTTGGCTAGGCTGGTTGGCCAATGAGCTTCAGGAATCTGCCTGTCTCTGCCTCCCAGCACCAGGGTCACAGGCACACATTGCCGTGCCCAGCTTTTATGTGGGTGCTGAGGATCTGAATTCAGGCCCTCATGCTTTCAAGGAGAGCATTTATACGACTGTTACCTCTCCAGCCCCTTCTTTTACTGCTCCCTACAACAAAGCCTCAATGTAGCCCAGGCTGGTGTAAAACTCACTGTGTAGTGGAGGATGATCTTGAACTCCTGATCCACCTGCCTCAGCCTCCCTAGTGCTGAGATTTTTCGGTGTGTGCCACAACACCTGGTTTATATGGAGCGGTGTATTGAACCCAGACTCTTGTGCATGCCAGGTAAGGACTCTGTCATCTGAGCTATATCCTGAGTCCCATCCCATCCTCCCCCTGACACCACTCCCCATCCAGCTTTAATGGTTTTTTTCCCTAAGATTTCTCTGTGTGTAGCCCTGGCTGTCCTGGAACTCACTCTGTAGACCAGGCTGGCCTCGAACTCAGAGATCCGCCTGCCTCTGTCTCCCAAGTGCTGGGATTAAAGGCATACACCACCATCGCCCAGCATCCTTTTTTGAGACAGTCTTGCTATGTGGCTTGCCATGTAGTACTGGCTGTCCTCCAACTGGAAGGTGTCTTCCTGCCACAGCCTCCTGGGTACTGGCATACACCACCATGCCCAGTGTTTAGTGGGAGTTTTTACTCTGGTTCATAGATGCATGTTTCCCCTGTATCTGTGCATGGTGGATAAGCAAGGCTGCTCCCTGGGGCTTCTTTTATAGAAGGATACTGGTTTCATTTGGAGGGTTCTGCCTGGCTGATTAATCACTTTCCAAAGGTCCTACCTCCTTAGGCATCTTGTAGGCTAGAATAGGCAGTCAACATAGGAATTAGGGGGAAACACATTTGGATCACAGCAATAATTGGGCATTATTGTGTTTTAAACTTCATATTCAACTAACTTGTGTTGTTCTTGCTTGTTAAAACATGTACGAACGGCAAGAGTGTATGGGAGAAGTGAAGGGAAAATACTGGCCTATTGTGAGCTGGAAATTACTAGTAGGGGCTACTTTTTTGTTTTTCTTGCACAGTACCTTTAATATCTATTTAGTAAGTAACTGAATGATTATTATAAAGCTTTGTAATGTATATTTTTCAAATGTTTGTTATGGTACAGTTTGGATACTTGAGATATTTAAGTCAGAGGTTCTCAGAGTTTACTGTGAATCAGGAAGGGTTTGCTGGGCTCCCTACCTCCAGAGTTTGATTCATTACGTTTGGAGTTGAGCCTGAGAGTTGTATTTCTTACAAGAACTGTTGTAATGCTGATGCTTCAGGCCTAAGTTACAGCCCTGACCTTTCATTCATTTAACAGAGTTTCTGCCATTTGACGGTGTTTGTATTGGGAATATCGATTGTGAAACAGGTGTCCTCCCTACCTTTTATATTTTTGTGAATGTAGAGTAGTTTTAGGTGTGAAGGGGTTTAATATTCTTAAAATGTACTAAAAAAGACATGGTGGCATCATGGAATATGATAGCAAGTGGTGACTTTGGAAAGGATCCTTCTTTCTAATGGAGACTTGAGGAATTGTAAGAGTTCTGTTGCGGAGAGGCTAGTATAGTTAGAAGGAACCACATGTGCAGTTGACTTGTCTTCCAAGAAATTCCTCAAAAGACAAAAAATAACAACAAAAACTCCTCGGGCTAAACGTATGACGGTGCCATAAAGGGGACCAGGAAGAAATTGCTTAGTGGTTCAAGGTGCTTTGATGCTCCTCCAGAGGACTTCAGTGTGGCAACCTCCTGCAACTCCAGCTCCAGAGGATGTGATGCCCTCTTCTGGCCTTTGGCTGCTTTATGCACCTGCACTCACATCCACATATTCACACATGAACACACAATTAAAAATATATCAGAAACAACAGTATGATGGCTTGAATGTGAAATGTCTTCCACATGCTCCACTGTCTAAAGTTAACTCCCCTATGGTCTTCCTGTTGTAGGTTGTAGAACCTGTAAGAGGGAGTACCTGCCTGGGGAAATAGGTTGCCACAGGGCAGGCCTTTGGAGTTAAAGCTGGGCCCGGTTCAGGCCTTAGCCCTTTGCTGTCTAACTGCTGATGGGATGTAACAAACTGCCTCACTTTGACTGACATGCCATTCCCACCATGGTGGAGCATGTCCTTGAACTGTGAGCCAAAAGAAATCCTTCCCTTTGGTGGTTTTTGTCAGGTAGTCTAGCACTATGCTGAGAAAAGTCACGAGTACAGAAAATGCTGAGAGTAGAGTGTAGATAGGAACAAGAGGATCAGGACACAGCTGTGTGCTCTTAAGCTCATGGTAGCTCTGGTTACTTGAGTTACAAGATTGGGCTCATCACTACTCTATCATAGA